CTTCAATGGGTGCGAAAATTCGCTCACCAAATCCGTCATTCGAGCTTGCTTCCACGGAAAGGGTAACAGCAGATCTCAGCGCTTCCCTTGAGATGGCCAGTCTCCCGTGATCAGAAGTGGTCTTGACCAGGACAGTCGGATTAACCCAGTCCCCCAAGGTATGGGAATTCACGTTTATCTCTTCACCGTCGAGGAACCAGCTGGGGTCCCAGGAAATCGTCGCTGATCCGTCGGGTTCTCTTTCCGTGACCAAAAACTTGAGCCCGGGTTCCGCAGATACCGAGACGTTGCGCTGAAATGAGACCAGCATCCCCGAGGAAGCATTCACGTACCTGATCTCCAACCGCTGTCTGCCGGTGGATTCGGATCGGGGTGTCAAGCAGGCGATGGTCTGTGCGTCCAGGGGTCTTGCCAGGCCCGGATTCGCACCCGGGGTTCTCGGGCCATGATGAAGGAAGCATTGGACGGGTGCGGAAGTGTTGACGCATGCATATTTGAGTGTAACTGCTTCTCGTCCGTAGATGCTGATGGTCCCGTGGCTCAGCCAAGGCGGGGGTCTATTGGTAATGTTCCCGCACCTGGCATCGGAAACCCGGACCTGGTGACACGCTAGCAAAGTTAGGATCGGTGCTATGAAGAGGAAATTCGCCATTATACAAATTCCTCTGTACCATACACGGCACCGAAAATAGTCAAAATCGATTGATTTGTATCCACCTGTTGGTAGAAAAATGAGAAAAATAACATTTAAAGTACTGTAGTACCAAGCGCACCTCCCTTAAAAAAATATATAGAAGGGCGAAAAGTGCGCAATGAACGTCAACGCTGGAAAACTATTTTAAAAAAAAATGGTACAGTACTTCTCACGTTGATCACATTACGAGACACGTTTCACAAAAAACCATCTAAGACTACACCATAGGGAAAAAAGTTAATTTAAATTCAGCTTAAAATTAAATTATATTGTAATGATCGGGTTTCCGTTCCAAACAGCTTCTCTTCCATATTCTGGCGACAATACAGATACCATATTTTAGATTATCCCCGAGTAGAAAAGCGTTCATTCATTTGGACTTGAAGTTTATTCAAAGTAGAACACCTAAGAAGAAAAACTCAACAAATATGATTTCAGGATGAAAGAAACGTAAACTTCTTAGAGGCCTTCAGATTAGAAATGTACCGCGTTTTATTTTATTCATGCTCATTATTTAAATTTTGTTTAAGTTATCATCATGTAAAAAAAATTAGCTTATAAGAAATCTTGTGTGACGAGGGGAAGAAACACGTCTTACTTTAAATGCTGGATTCTAATCGAAAGATCTTTAAAGTTTAACGTGTTATGTGTACCGTAGTTCACTGAGAAGCTCGTCAGTCGCGTTTAACGGAACCTTTTTTAGGAAATGCTTGCAATATTTCCGCGAGTATTAAGTTTACATTTTCTTTATCAAGCAATCTGTTTCACTTCATTCATAAATTTTCAATTGTTTATTTTGAATGAAATTTTTCCATGCTATGCAGCAAATGAATTCAGAGTCAAATCTAAAAATTACTAAGAAAGTCATTTACGGAACGATGAACATATAGCATAAACAGAGTCGAAGACATCAAACATGGCTTTTAATGGCGTCTAAATATAAAACTTGACCAAACCTGAGTTTAAAAAAAACTTTACTTTGCTTTACTGAAAACTGGGGCGTGCATTTTCGATAAGTTTTTCCACAACTTCTCGGTTCGAAAACCAGTGATGTGTTCGTATCTTAAAGTAGCTCAATAACTCTGACATAATGATGGTGCCCTAAAGTTCTAGAACAAAATACACTGGCACTCTTGTGACGACGAAAAGCCTTCTGAACAGGATTTCGCCAAGAAATCCAAAGTCGACTTGAAGCTACGTCAATCGTCTGTTTCACGTGACTGTATATCTATAGAAGTATCGCAGTCGCTGTGCGGCACCAACAAGCAAGTATAGTACCTGGCACACAAGGTTTCTCTCAGTACTTGCTGAAGTTGAGTGACTTCACAACTAAATCAGCATTCAACAATTTTAGCGTTGCAACTGGTATGCAGTTATGTTTACTTTATTGTACTCCTCTCAAAAAATGCCCTTTCAATTTTCTTTACAGCACCTATATAGCTCCTTTAAAAAAAATTGGTAGTTTTTTTAGCTAGATTTTATTTTAGTTTTTTTTTCACTCAGCACAGCAGCCCAAATGTCAAGGAAAAATATAGCAAAGAACAATTGAAACAAGAATTAAATGATTTGAATTACCGCATTTTATTTACCGTATTCACTCAAGTACCCTGCGCACCTTTTTTCTCAAATTTCAGAAGAAAAAAAGGGGTGCGCATCATAAGCGGGTACAAATTTTTCAATAAGTTTTAGGAAGTTATGTGTGCATTATACTTAATTATAATGGAGACATTTTGAACAAATGTAGCAAGAAAACTTTTTTTTTACTGAAAGAGTTGAAAATTAATCCAATTTTTGTTCAATTTTTGTCTAAAGTCAAATTTTTTGTGGTTTTAGATTCACTAAAAATTGGAGTGCGCGTCTTACTGAGGTATAAGATTTTAGCAAAATCTCTAACTGAAAAACCCCTGTGTGCACCTCACTTGAGGGCATTTGGTACTCAAGTAATAGGGTATATACAGTTCCATTCATTTTTGCAAATTTTCGCCCCTGAAAATTGGCGCGTAATTAAGTCGTAAATAGGGATATGTTTTATTTCTCAATTTTTCAATCGCAAAAATCGGGTGTGTGTCTCGCATAGGGGCAAATGTTATAATCATAAATATGGTAATCGTGTTCATGCGTTCAGAAAATGAAGACTAATTTTTCAATTGAACTTCTTATTGTCATTTCGTTTGATGAAAACTCGAGAGCCTTGAACCGAAGTTGGACCTCTGGATAAGATGCCTGAAGAGCCAAGCGGAGGGTAAAGAAAAGAAGGAAGCAACTTCATTCTTGAGTTTGAATTCGAAAAGGCCGAGTGAAAATTTGAAAATTAGATTCAGGTGCGCATAAAATGAAAGAAAGTAGCGCACGAAAAGGATAAATCTTGCACTTGAAGTCACTAAAAGCTCGAATATAAACCTTCGAGAAGGCGTGAAGCGCAAGTAAATTATCTCGAAAAACTGCGAACGTAGAAATTCGACGAATTCTGGTGAAGTACTGAATCCGCACTTTAGCTGCTGTTCGTCTAACTGAATAATTGTAGGTAATTCGAAGCTTTCGGAGAAGTATCACTTGAACATTTTCTCGTGACGTGAAATCGAATCACTATATACGCATAGAATCCCATTGCCTATATGCACTACANACAAGAAATGAAATGAAGGCGTGGTATAGAGCATAAAATCGTGTTGTATTCTCTCAAATATCGGCAAACTCGTCCGCAGCAAATCGTCGTCAAATATCAACATTTTCCTCCAACATTCGTCCACTAAACTGATGATCACGGCTATTCTTGGAAAGGAAATCAACGTTCAGAAGCAAAGCGCGGGATGAACAGCCTCATCACTAATGTAGCTGACAGGATTCCTTCCGACGCATTCTTCCACAAAAAGCAGAAAAGAAAAAAAAATCGAACCTGTATATACTTGATTCATTCCAACAATTTCAAGTAAACACCGGTAGAGAAAAATAGCACCCAAAGAATAATAATAATAATAATTAAAAAACCCTCTGTGATTCAGATTGTCGCGGCGAGAAAGCAGTCGAGGATAAAAAAAAAAAGTTCGCCTCAGCGCAGAAATCTCGCGACTTTCCCTCGCCAAAAAAAGAAAAGAAATTTGCACCATCAGCCACACGATCCGAGCGGACGCCTTATTGAAGGAAGAAAGAAGAGGCAGTTTTTCTTCCCGCCCCTCATTTCTATTACAAACGGCGGAACACACAAAAAAAAAATCGCGACAGGTCAAAATAGAAAAAGACTCAGAAAAAAAAAAAACCCTCCCGAGACGGAAACAAGAACTTCCCCACAGTCAGTAACACATGCGTTTGTTCTCCTTCTGTTGTACGAAACACTCTGCAAACGACATCTGAAAAAGAAAAATGCGATCCCCGCAAAAACGCCTGTTTTTCTTGTTCAAAAGTGAGTTAGCTACAATGATTTGCAAAAGTTTCCGCCAAAAAAAAAACAAAAGACGAGGAAAAATCGGCATTCGACAACTTTCCAGCCAAATTTTCTCAAATTTTTAGCCTAAGATATCAAAGACCCCGAAAGCAGGAAAAAAAATAACTTTCAAAAGATGAAAAGCAGCAGAGGCTTTTTTTTTCTGACAAGGACAACGGGGGAAGTATACAAACACAAAATGCGTATTTTTCCTCTTCCGGGATTTGGTAGCGCCATCACAGCTCGCATTCCATTTCTTTCTCCTTCATTTTACCAACAACTTCTCGTAAATTCCTGGTTCTTCACGAAAGAACGAAATCTTCACAACTCGTAAAATATTAAAACATATTTTTTCCAACTCCCGAAAAGGGAGAGAAATCAACCCGAAATTCATCGCCATTCCCACGTCGCGTCTCATCGTCCTTTTCATGCTCTTGCGATTTTCGTGGGATTCGCACAACTCCAAAAAGTGTCGAAGAACAATTGCATCCAACTCATCATCCTCAGCCTCGTTTTACTTCTTCTTTTGTTTTTGTTTTTTTCTAGCTGAGAAAACAAGGTTAACAAAGGGCCGGTTTCGTTTCCCCAATGCTGCTGAACGATTCAGTTTTCGATCCATACTGACAAGATCCTCCCTCATCCGCAGGCTCACACATCACTATAAATCATCGAAAACAGTATTAAATTATGGACCAGTTCTGTCTATTTTTTCCCCAATGCTGCTGAACGATTCAGTTTTCGATCCATACTGACAAGATCCTCCCTCATCCGCAGGCTCACACATCACTATAAATCATCGAAAACAGTATTAAATTATGGACCAGTTCTGTCTATTTCTTTCTCTTCCTCTTTTTTTTCGGACAAAAAGATAAAAAAACATTCAACTTACGAAGACTCGATGTTGGAGTTTGACAAAATGAATTCGAGTCCTTGGGGACGAGAATCTGGATTGTCGTCTTCATTGCTGTTGTCGTTGTTTTCTTCGTCGAACGTGTCGCGATCCTCGATGTCGTAGCGAGCATCTCCAGACGCATCCGACACACTGATGCGAACCTCGTTCGGTTTACTCACCAGCTGTGACAACGAGGAACAAATTAATTGTCACCAGTTCAGAGTTTCAAATCAAATCGAATCGTTTCAACATTTCCAGACACGTACGAGTAGGTCGAGAGACGCAAAAATAAATTGCACGAGGGGATTAACTCGCTGACTCACAAAAAAGCGTGAATTTTTGAAGAGAAAAATAATAATTTATATACACACATTTTGAGAAGTAAAGATAGATGAAATCAAGAAGTTTTAAAATCCTGGTATCAATCGACAAAAGCCAATCAATTTACCTTTCTACGAAAAAGAAAAAACCGAAGCGCGAATTTCAGCTATTAGTCGTGAGCATGAAATTCTGAAAGTTCAGCAAAAACAAGATAAAAAGTGAAAACAGCAAAAGAATGACAAGAAAATTCTAGACGCCACATCGGACCATTTCCTTCCATTTTAGTATCAAACACAGATTGATTTCTTGGGAATGACAAGATTCTTTTTTTTTTGAAAGACAAGAAATGCGCATTTCAAAATGTTCCTTCTAGCAGGGTTTACTTTTTTGTTTTTGAAAAAATTTCCTTTGAATATGTGCTTGAAACTAGCGCAAATCCACGCCTTTTTAAAATAGTTTTAACCAAGTGAATCGTACCTTTTGAAAAGTTCGATAAAATGAACAACTCTTTACAAACGGGCTCAAACTGTGCAATAGACGATCTAGAATGGGAAGAAAATTGGCACACACAAAAAAAAAACCACCTTTGAGGGCTAATAATTAAATCTGGCAGCAACTTGAAATAATTGATCCTGCGTTTTTAGGGTTCATGAAATCCTTTTTTTCCATTGCCTCATGGGAAGAAAATTGGCACACAAAAAAAAAAAACCACCTTTGAGGGCTAATAATTAAATCTGGCAGCAACTTGAAATAATTGATCCTGCGTTTTTAGGGTTCATGAAATCCTTTTTTTCCATTGCCTCATGAATAAACGTGTTACTCGAGAAACGTGTATTTCTGGGGTTCTTGTGAAAACCTTTTTTTGCATCATAATAAACGCCACTCAAGTGGTGCAATGAACTCATTCACATTTATAAATCAATGAATACACCAATAACATTTTTTGGAAATTTATGATCTCGATCGAGAAGCTTCATCCCTGTAACTGGATTGAGAATTTTCAAACCACGTCCGATATAGAATACTGTACTAAAATTTGTGTGAGCCTTTAAAAAGAATGTACTCATCTCAAGAAAATACTTCACAAAATGATCAAATCAATAAATAAATTCGTGGGATACTTTATTCGAAAAATTAGAATAATATTCTTTTCATGGTGGGAGGAAAATGATGTGACTTATTCAGGGATTACCGGGATTTTTGCTGCAGTTCTCAGCGCGCATTAAAATAATATATCACGTGTCGTTCCCTTCGTTTTTCAAAATTCGGATTTCAGCAAGAGATGAACTTCGAGACACATGAATCGGACGGCAGGGCTAATTTTTTTTTATACAACAGTATCATAAATAATACAGTTTTACCAAATCGTATCGACGTACCGAATCTCCGCCATCTTCGGCTCCGCTCAAAGGCCCCGCCGCGGAAATGTAAATCCTGCTCGCAACCTCCTCATCAGCCCTGTCCAGTGTGATGTAAGTCGTCGACACGTGATGCTGCTGATGAACAGTTTGCGGTTGAGAATCTTGGTGGTGACCGTGCGGCGCCGCTGCACCGCGGAGATGGACGCCATGGTCGCATTGCGGCGGTCGGGACGACGGCGACGGCGACGACGACGACGACGCCAGGAATTGCTGCGGAACCACGTCTGGATGCTGATGCGATGATGACGAGGAATGCATGGGATTCTGGAAAAGCCCCGCGGGGCTTTGGAATAAGCTTGCCGATTCCCGAAGTAAAGCGAGGGGTTGAGTAGGCCTGAATCTGCCCGATTGTCGAACGCCGCCGTCTTCCAGGGACCCGAAATCGTCCGAAGATGCTTCTGTTTCATTTTATATTCAGAAGAATAGGAGAAAATAAAATCAATACAAGCTCTGTCTGTGTTCTGCGACACGAAAATCAGAAACTTTGACAATGAAAGCGTTGAATAGGTGTCGCCTCAATCGCAAGACTCCGCAGACCCAATGGAAGTTGAGCTTCTTCAGCATATTACGTTACAGTCCAATCTCTTCATATCAAAAGGACGTTTTAAGTTAGAGAAAAAGCATTTTTGTTCAGAGAGATATAAAAGAATAAACATAAATTGTAATTGGTGATATTATGGGTCTTATTAAATTGCTTCTTGAATGAGTCAAACAGGATGCTGAAGTTGAAGGCAGGAGTTCAATTGCCAAATTAGTCTTTCATGCTCTTTCAAATTGCATCAAGTTACATCTCTTCAAATTTGTCTTTCCTTTACGAATAAAATAATGCACCAAAGACCTCCAGAAAATTTGACCCATTGAGATTTGAAGGGCATAAGACTTCAAGTTTACCCCACAGGTCAACTAACCCATCAAATGATGGCCAATAGAGCTTAGTTGGGTTGACCCATGTTTTTGTTTTTGTTTTTTGTACTGACTCGTGAAGTGATGCATCAATCAGTTGTAGTCTGACAGCATAAATCATCACATTGTCAACAAACTGTCAACAACGTTTCAAGCTTCTACTTTTGATGCAACAGAATGTGCATGCATTGACCTGTCAACTGAATGTTGAATCTTCTGAAGCCCAAATTATATGCTGGTTATGCATCAATTTTTTATGCATTATTTCTGAAGGAATTCAGACAGGACACTGAAAAAATCAACAGATGGAAATATTGTACATGCACATAGACACTCTCGATACAGCAATCTTGTCTACAACCATGTTCTCTGTAAAACAGTTTTTTTTCCCTCAGGGTTCTCTCCACATGTAATAAGGATTTTCTGCAACAAAATTCTCTCTACAGCAAATTATTTCTGGTCCCTGAAGTTTTGTTTTAGAGAGAGAGAGAGAGAGTCCACCTGTATTTGACTTGGGGAGGTTTGAGTTAGCAAAATTCAACGTTAGCTGACTTTCTTGCCCAGTACAGAATCGCCATAAAAAACTTGACACTTCAAATTAAATTTCAGCAACTCACCGGCATGATCATGGTCATTCTGCAGCAAATGCTTAGACTGGCTCGCAATGGACTGAAGGGAACAAGTGCTGGAACAAGACGTGCTGCTGCCGATCCCGCTGGAACTCAGTCGGCCAGACGCCATGTCGAAATGCTCGCCCATCACCAGCTTCGCTTCCGAGTCCCTTTCCATGATGCCACAGAGCTCAGATGACCCGCCGGCGGATGACGACGACCCTGCCCCGAGGGTCGATGAGGACGAACCGCTCGAGTAGTTGAGCGAGAGGCGCTTGTGAATGCTACTGTCCTTCATGCTTTGATGTTTCTGAAGGAATTAAAAAAAAAATTATACAGTGTATT